GGGGGGGGGGGGGGGGGGGGATTGATGACATAAAAAGAAAGCAATTCATTGCTACTAACTTCGGTGGGTAGGACTTGTAATCTGTGGATGAAAGATAGAGTATTGTTTGTGCGAGACCAAAAAAAATCCGACAATAATGACAACGGTAATAGCAACAGCAGCAACCAAGACGACGACGACGGCGGAAAAGTTCAAGACAAAACGTGAATTCACTGCTACTGTCTTTTCCTGGACTACTTTTATCTGTGGGTAGGAAGAGCCATATCTGTGGGTTGATACGAGAAAGACTGAATTGTTTGTGCGGCACATGCAACAAATTAATCAAAACCACGAAAACGCAAGCGAACACTCGGGGCAAGGCAAGAGAGACACCAGCACCAAGGTATTAAGCATGATGCAGAGGCCCGCGGTACCCGCTTCTCGACAGCAAGCAACCGGAACGCCGTCCAAGGTCGATGGAGAGTGAAATTAGTGACTACAGCTTGTTGCTGCTGTATTCGCCGTGAAAGGACTTGGCGACTTTTTCAGCAGCGCACCCATGGCGCGGGGTCTTGCATCCTCTCACGACCCGTAAACGAATATCTTTGCGAGCGGCATGACCCCAAAAAAACACAACAATAGCAACGAGCTTCGGACACGTACGTATGTGCCGCGCTTCGGACCACGAAAGCTGTGGAAAACCCGATCTCCGCGAACGATCCGGAGAACGGTCCTCAATCCCCACACTCCTTCCACACCAACACCTAGACGCCTCTCAAAGACAACCTCACCCGCCCACGTTTTGGCTGCGCCTCGTGCTATGGCCGAAGCTGCCGACCTTGCAAAAGGGCCTCTTAGCCACACAGTTTTGTTCTCTTTCGTGAAAAAATCATCATCAAGCTTGGACAACCACGATCCCATTGGGCACCTGCTTCGCAAGCAGAATTGACAGGAGGTCAGCACAAAATGAAACTCGCCTGATCAAACTCTCCTTGCCGCGGCTCCACCTTCGACCACTCGATGCTGAACCTGAAAACACAACGCATCAGTATTTTGCGGGGCAAGTTTGTGTGATGATAACGGAAAAAAAAAGAACACCAATCGTGGCCAAGTGTGGAAACCTTCAGATGTGAGTGTGCCATCAAAGGCTACATGCATTACTATGCACAAATCCAAGTATACACGTCCCATTTCTACCCTGCCATGTCATCTCAAGTTGGTGGGGCACTACACAACAGTATCCGAGCTGCATGGAGCCTTCGTGCGTGCTCATGAACAAAAAGAAAAAAAAATGTTTATGGTCGTTACACGCCCTGCCTTCACCTACCGGTAGCTGCCAACCCCAAGTCCTTGGATCAGCCCCAGGTCCTCCCCCAGCCGCTCCCAGTGCTCGCACGCCTTGCCGCTCTTCGCCCCGCCCTTGACCGTTGGCGGCTGCCCCTCGGGCCTGCTTCATTCAATTTCGCGAATGCAGCCGTGCACGCCGATTGTTTTGGTCCAACTCCATAGGAAGATGTGCTGTGTTGCTGTGCTGTGTGTGCTGTGCCGTGGTGAATACTTCAGCAGGTCAGGGTGTGCACTTCAAGGCTTGGTTGAGACAGATTGAACAATGGTGGTGGTGCTTTGGATAACCCCAGACACCGCACATATGGGGGCATGCAACATGCAAGTGGCGACGCCAAGCCTTATTGTTGTTCATCACTTTCCATCAGCGCTCAAAGCATTTCTGCCGAGAAGCCTAGTCGGTCGTTACACAAAGAGCGCTCCAAATGCCAGAAAACAGCCGCAACAAATGCTCGTCTCATGCAACTCCATTTGCCGTTCGTTCTTGGCCCTAACTCCCCACCCCGATAGAATTAGCGAGTGGACACATTTTCATCTTTGTACATATGTCGCGCCAAGTGTCAAACTCTGTACTCTGAACATCCACACCTCGCACCCACACCTCGCGCTGAACTCGAATCTGCAGGGTCCCACAACGAAGGAGACCTACGTACTATTTACAATAGCTCTCTTACGCCGCATCACGCGGAAGTTGAACAGCACAATCCAACCGAACAAAAATGCCCCCCCCAACCGATTAGGCATCCATGGCTATGAGTACCTCTTCAATTGGTTCAAACGAAATCGAGTCACGACAGGTACATCACTGGTGCTACTGTGGTTGTGAAAAAACAAAAACATTTCGCCCAAAAATACGAAAAAACAAACACAAAAATAAATATACCATTAACAGCACTAATCACCTCTCGGTGTTCTCCCATCGGCTCCACTGATTGTTGTCGTTTCCCCCCTCGAT